GATATTTAGTCAGTAGCATACTAGGATCAAGGGCTACCAAGTTTGTTTAAATGTATGACCTTGAATCATATTCAAGGTCACAAGGAGCAAATATGTTCAAAATATTTAAACAACTTGTTCTGAATAACCAAAAGGCTCAGGATGTTGATATTTAGTCAGTAGCATGCTGGGATCAAGGACTACTATGTTTGTTAAAGTGAATGACTTTGACTTATATTCAAGGTCACAGGGGTCAAATTTGTTTAAAATCTTTAAACGACCTCTTCTGAATAACCATAGGTCCCAGGATGTTGATACTTTGCAAGTTGCATCCTGAGATGAAAGGCTATACAATTTGTTCAACATAATGACTTTGTTCGACTTTCAAAGTAACAGGGGTGAAATGTTTTAAAATCTTTTAACACGTTCTTTTGAATGACTTTAATCATAAATACTGATATTTTGCCTGTAGCTTTACATCACTTTTAAAGTTGCAAGTGTGAGATTTATACCAGGTGAGCGATGCAGGCCCATTTGGCCTCTTGTTTGTCACTTTGAATAATATTTCTGTTCATGTTAAAAACAAAATCAACTCTCTGTATAAATATATCAGGTGACCGTTAAGGCACATGGGCCTCTTGTTTTTATTAGCTCACCTGCCCGAAGGGCTTCCTGGGATGGAGCTTAACAAAGTTTGAGAATGAAATTAATTTGACCTACTTTCAAGGTCACAGGGGTCAAATATGTCAAACGACTTCTTCTGAAGAACTAGAATTTATAGCATCTTCATATTTGGCTGATGGTTTCCTGGGATGGAGCACAACAAAGTTTGAAAATGAAAATTACCTTGACCTACTTTCAAGGTCACAGGGCTCAAATGTGTCAAAAGCTTCAAACAACTTCTTCTGAAGAACTGAAAGGTATAGAATCTTTATATTTGGCTGGTGACTTCCTGGGATAGAGCCCAACAAAGTTTGAGAATGAAAATTAATTTGACCTAATTTCAAGGTCACATGGGTCAAATATGTCAAAAACTTTAAAAGACTTCTGAAGAACTAAAAGGTATAGAATCTTCATATTTGATTGATGGCTTCCTGGGTTTGAGCCCAACAAAGTTTAAGGATGAAAATTACCTTGACCTACTTTCATGGTCACAGGGGTCAAATGTGTCAAAAGCTTCAAATGACTTCCTCTGAAGAACTGAAAGGTATAGAATCTTTATATTTGATTGAAGGCTTCCTGGGATAGAGCCAGACAAAGTTTGGGGATAAAAATGACCTTGACCTTCTTTCAAGGTCACATGAGGCAGATATGTCAAACACTTCAAACGACTTCTTCTGAACAACTGGAAGTTATAGAACCTTAATATTTGGCTGGTTATTTCTTGGGGAAAGAGCCAAACAAAGTTTGAGAATGAAAATGACCTTGACTTGCTTTCAAGGTCACAGCATTCAAATATGTCAAACCGTTCAAACTACTTCTTCTGAAGAATTAAAGGCATAAAGTTTTAATATTTGGTTGGATGGAGCTCACCAAAGGTTGCGAATGAAAATGACCTCAACCTATTTTAGAGGTCACAGAGGTCAACAACATTTCAATGGATTTGTTCTTAAGAACTAAAAGGAATGGATTCATAAGATTTGGCTGGTAGCTTTATGGAATAGAGCTAACCAATTTGAGAAGGAAAATGACATTGACCTACTTACAAGGCCACAGGAAAAAATATTTAAGCAACTTCTGAAGAAGAATCAAAAAGCATAGAATCTTATAATAATATTTTGCTGGTAGTTTCAACAGATGGAGCCAACAAAGTTTGCGAGGGAAATACTTTTAGTGCAATATAATATTTAATGAGAATATTTTGCTATGACTGCTTAAATATTCAGGTGAGCGATACAGGCCATCTGGGCCTCTAGTTTTTAGGTCACCTTAGCTTTGCTCAAGTGACCTATTCTAATTGCTGTTTACATTTTCAACTTCTTCTCAAGAACCAGTGGATGGATTTTTTTCAAACTTGGTCAAAATCATCCTTGGTAGATGAGGCTACAAAATAGTAAAATTGGAATTCCTACCCCATCCCCTGGGGCCAGGGTGGTGCTCCAAAGGGAAAATTAACCAATATTTCAAAAATCTTCTTCTCCAAACTCAGAGGTACTACAGTCATTTTCTCTGCAAGGAAAGAAAGATCAGGGGCTTTCCTTAAATTGTAAATTTCAGGACCCACGAGCTAATTGTTCTCCCTATGGGAGGGGGTAAAGTTAAACGCTACTTGCCATGAACGACTGAGCAGATTTTGACCAAATTTGGTCAGAAGCATCCTTGGGGAAAGAGAAACAATTTTTTTGTATAAATGGTGGGTCTGGCCCCCCTGGGGGCTGAGGGGCAGGGCCCAATAAGGGAAACATCACAAATTATTCTTTAAAATCCTTTTTCTTCTGTAGGAATGAAAGGATTTCGTCCATATTTGGGGTGGAGCATCCTTGGGCCAAGGGGACTCAATTTTGTATATATGGTTGGACTGCCCACCTTTGGGGCTGAGGGGTGGGGCCCAATAGGGGAAATATAGCAAATTCTTTAAAATCCTTCTTCTGTAGGAATGAAAGGAATTGTGCCATATTTGGTCTGAAACATCTTTGGGGGAAGGGGAACCAATTTTGTATAAACCGTGGGTCTGGCCCCCCAGGGGCCTGAGAGGCAGAGGCCAATAGGGGAAACATATCAAATTCTTTAAAATCCTTCTTATTCTGTAGGAATAGAAGGATTTGGTCCATATTTGGTGTGGAGTATCCTTGGGTAAAGGGGAACCAATTTTGTATAAACAGTGGGTGTGGCTCCCCTGGTACCTGAGGGGCGGGGCCCAATAGGGGAAATAGAGATAAAACCTTTAAAATCCTTCTTCTATCACAGGGATTAAGTAATTTTATCCTTATTTAGTCTGGAGCATCCTTGGGCCAAGGGGTCTCAATTTTGTATAATTGGTGGGTATTACCCCCCCACCCCCTGAAATTTCATATGTACTTACAGCACCTACCATGGAGTGCTATGTCTTTACTTCATACCAATTATTTTAAACATATATTTAATTCATCTTTGGATATGTTGTGCAGAATAACAAATTAATAAGTTTTCTCGTGAAACATTTTTGTGTCAATTGTCAATTTCTGGTTTTTCGGTAAGGGCAAAGTTCTAATGCACTATATAAAAAACTTTAAAAAATCCTCCCAAGTTTCACAAGGTCTAGAGTCTTGATATTTGATATTAAGATGCTGAGATGTTTGGGCATCAGGCTTAAGAAAATATTTGACATTGATCAACTATCAAGGTCGCAATCAAGGTCACAAATGTCAAATGTTTAAACATTAAAATTATATTTTGAAAATTGTTCGATAGCCAGCTTGCACCATACAGAACCTGTGGGCCGCGCTCAGGGTGGGCTATTTAAATCGCCTGTGTCCGTGGTCCGTACGTAGTCCACAATACTTAGTCCATTAACCTGACCTAAACGCAAAAAAAATAACCAAAATCACGTCATGGAGAAGGTGCCAACTCGGGTATGAGTCCTTTGGGCCTCATGCTTTGGTTACTATGCATCATGGTTTTGGTGCTTTCCAGCAGCAAACTGGTTATATGTCTGCCTGTCGTAGGTCTTCAGAGTCTCATCTTGGCACTTCGGAGCCTAAGAGAGCTCATAAGAGGACTTTATCAGAGAGTTTCAAGAACTCTTCCTTGCCCTTAACAGTAGATACTTCAGTGTCTACTTCCAGGAGGGGTACTGAAATGACACAATTTTTGAAAGGCACAAATTTCTTTGTGATCGGTAGCTTAAGCAGAGCTGTTACAGATTTAGTACATTGTAAGCTCACCTGCCCGATGTCATGGTGAGGCGTCCGTCTGTCATCCGTCCGTCAACTATCCTTTAAACAACCTATTCTGAAGAAAGGACAGGCCTAGAGACATGATATTGGCTGAAAGCTTTGTTTGTAGGAGCCTAGAAAAGTTTGAGAATGAAAATGACCTTGACCTACTTTAAAGGACACAGAGGTCAAATATGTCAAACACTTCAAATGACTTCTGAAGATATGAAAGGTATAGAATTTTCATATTTGGCTGGTAGCTTCCTGTGATAGAGCTCGACAAAATTTGAGAATGAAAATGACTGACTTACTTTCAAGGTCACAGCGGTCAAATATGTAAAACGCTTCAAACGACTTCTGAAGAAGAACTGAGAGGTATAGAATCTTTATATTTGGCTGGTGGCTTCCTCGGATAGAGCCCTGCAAAGTTTGAGAATGAAAATGACCTTGACCTAAATTCAAGATCTCAGAGGTCAAACACTTCAAATGACTTCTTCTGATGAACTGAAAGGTATATAATCTTCATATTTGGCTGGTGGCTTCCTGGGATAGAGCCCGACAAAGTGTTAAAAAAAGAAAATGACAGGGGTCAAATATGTCAAAACATTAAACGACTTCTTCTGAATACTCTTAGAGCATAGTTTTATAATATTTAGCTGGTAGCTTCCTGGGATGGCGCCTGACAAAGTTTGAAAATAACCTAGATCTCAGGTCACAGGGGTTAAATATGTCAAACACTTCAAACAATGTCTGAAAAGGAACCAAAAAGCATAGAATCATATAATAATATTTGGCTGGTAGTTTCAACAGATGGAGCTGGCAAAGTTTGGGAGTGAAATATTTGTAGTACAGGATAATATTTAATAAGAATATTTTGCTATTACTACGAAATATTCAGGTGGGCGATACAGGCCATCTGGGCCTCTTGTTTGAGTTCTGCAGGTTAATTAACATGTGTACTAATGAACTTTTTGGACTTTTCTCAAAACCAAGATTGCCAATAGACTGCAGTCTTGAATTTTTCTCTTGAATTCAAACGTATAAAAAGATAAATAAAGTTGAAACCTGGTTCTGCCCCACCCAAATGGCATTAATCATCCTCAAAGATAAAGAATGTCTGTGTCTTTAAGGACTTTCAATACTTTGATTATTCTTTATGTTTGACAGATGAACAGATTGGCGAGGTTGTACGAAGGCTTGACAAGAGGGACCTTATATACACTGCCTTGTACACAGCAAAGAGAGCTGCGCAGGTAACATATGGCTTAGCTTCCCTTTATAACAGATAGATACACAGTGGTCTGACTATAATATATCAATTATCTTGCTTCACCTATAACCATGCAAGTGCTAGCTAGGCATAAAGAGACAAATACACACGTGTGCTTCCAGGATTTGCCCTGTGATCTGGTTATAATTCTTGCTTCCAATGTTTTGTGTAATTGTGAAATTAGTCTAAGTTGTTGGTAGACAGTGTGGTATTGTACATGTTTACTTATCACTGTAAGGCCTGGATATTGCGCTATTTCTGTCTAAGCTATTTTTAGGTCACCTGAGACAAAGTCTCAAGTGACCTATTGGGATCTCCTTTTGTCCCTCGTCGTCCGTCGTGCGTCCGTAAACAATTTACATTTTCGACTTCTTCTCCAAAACCCCTGAACCAATTTCAATGAAATTTTGCAGAAACCTTCCATGGCCAAAGGTCAACAGAAAGAGTTGCCGGTTTGGTCCCCGGCCCCCAGGGGCCTGAGGAACGGGGCCAAAAAGGGTCAAATTGACTAAAATTTCAAAAATCTTCTTCTCACGACCCATATATGGTAGAATCACATATTCTTCATAGATGGAAGGGTCTTAAGGTGCTTTACCAAAATTGTGAATTTCTTGCCCCTGTGGTCTCACGTTTCCCCCTGGGGAGGGGGCAAAATTTATTATGGTTTATAATGGCAAATGATACTTTGAATATTACATGTTGATAACTTGATTGGAATTATAACCCTCAGTTGATAGTTTGATACTTTGTAAATTTTGAGCCATCCCTACCCCCAAGGGCTGTAGGGTGGGGCCCAAAGGAGTCAGTGTGCTAAAATTTCTTCATTTTCCTTGTTTAGAATCAGAGGTGCTAGTTTCAAATACTTTCTAGTCTTAAATCTGTATGCTAGATATTGAATAAGGTGGTTTTATTGTTTTTTGTCACTGAATAATATTTCTGTTGGTGTTAAAAACAAAATCATATCTCTGTATAAATATATCAGGTGACCGTTAAGGCCCATGGGCCTCTTGTTATAACTTGGTTTCCCAAAAGATGAAACTGAACACACTGGATGTTGGTTTCAGGTCATGCTCCCAATTTTCAGGTTATCATTTGACTAAATAGCCCCTTTAAGGACCTGGGTGATGATATTTGGTGGGTAGCATGGTGGCAGGAAGGGCTTCCGAGTTGTTTAAATGTATGACCTTGACTCATATTCCCAGTCACAGGGGTCAGAAATGTTAGTCTATTATGTTTGTTCCAATGAGTCAAATGTGTTTAAATCTAATAACAGTTTCTTTTGAATGACATAGATACTGATATAGTCTGTAGCTTTATTTAGTCATGTTTAAGGTAATAAGTGTGAGATTAATACAAGATGAGCAATGGAATTACATTGTTCATAAGGAGTTTCAAGCTATGTTTTCATGAAGAATTTTGTAACATGTTTATGAAAAGAAGCCTTAATTTCCTAAATTATCCAATATAATTCTAAGGAATTCCTGTTCTGAATTAATATTCACAAGATCTTAATCCATGAAGTTCTCTCTTTAGAAACTAATGAAAATGTAAATCTGAAAACGTAAGTCATTTACAGTACCATAACTTAATAACCCAAAGTTCAATAAAAAATTGTGTATTTTATTGCAGGTGGAAAAGGAAGTCAAAGGTGTGAAGCGTCGCTTGTTGGCAGCTGAGTCATTCAATGAAGTGAACAATGGAACCTTCCTGAACATCACCTGTATGTTCTTCTATGTCCGCACCATCACTACCTATGTGGACAAAGGTGGCAAAAACACCACCATACAGCTCAATGACACTTCTAAGTTTGTTGATGATGGATCTATGTGTGACAATTCAACAGCCATGTAAGTTGTTCTCAGAAAGGATTCTAAAGTTGAAATATATTGCCCTTGTGAAACAAGATTAATCTGACCTTTCACGAAATATATAAAAAGAAGATCTCAATAACCAAAAGGCCCAGGGTGATAATATTTTGCCAATAGCATGTTAGGATAAAGGGCTACCAAATTTTATCAAATTTATGATTTTGACCCCCGTTTCAAGGTTGCAGGGGTCAAATATGTTAAAATATTTTAAACGACTTCTTCTCATTACCCAAAAGGCCAAGAAAAATGATATACCGAAAAAAAAATTGCCCTATTCCACCCTCCATATTAAGGGTGAATTTATCATTAAAGCAAACATAAATTAACAGCATAATAAACATAGTAATTAAATATGAAGGGCGAAATGAACACTAAACTGATTTAATGGGCAAAGGGCGAAAGTTTGAATGGGCAAAAATTTCCCAGTATACAGTATGCCCAGTAGAACACTGGTAGGAAGGGCTACAAAAAGGTCCATTATCGTGAAATTTCTATTTGCTTTATTTAGCCCGTTATCAAATCGCCTGTTGCCCATTGTGTGGGGTCCCTCCTTAAGCAATTCTTGTTATCACTATTTCTCAGAAAGTACTAGAGAGAATTTTCTCAAATTTCACATGTAGGTTCCCCTTGGGCTTAATTACCATCTGCTAATGGCAAGTCAAATACCCAGGTCAAATTCAAGAAGGACAACAAAACTCACCTCTTCACGTCTACAAACTAGACTCTTTGCACAGACGTCATGTACATACCAGCCTTTATTTATTCATTTATGTTCACATTGCGATGATTATTTTCTTGCTTAATGTATGATGGTGATTGTAAGCCATTTTGTTTCACAATTATAACAAATATCATTATCCATATGTTGAAAAGCGCTTTGAATTAATAATTGTTGTATATTATTATTAGTATTATGAGCTCATCTGCCCGAAGGGCAATTGAGCTTATGTCGTGGCGCTCCGGCTGGCGTCAATATTTTACTTTAAACCAGTTCTTCTCAAAAAACCAAAAGGCCTAGGGTGGTGTTATTTGGCCAGAAGCAAACTGGGATAAAGGGCTACCAAGTTTGTTCAAATGAATGACCTTGACCCACTTTCAAGGTCACAGGGGTCAAATGTGTTGAAATCTTCAAACGACTTCTTCTCAATAACCAAAAGGCTCAGAGTACTGATATTGGGCCTGTAGCATGCTGGGATGAAGGGCTATTAAGTTTGTTCAAACGAATGACCTTTACGAACTTTCAAGGTCACAGGGGTCAAATGTCTTAAAATCTTCAAATTACTACTTCTCAATAAACAATAGACCCAGTGTACTGAAATAGGGCCTGTGGCATACTGGGATGAAGGGCTACCAAGTTTGTTCAAATGAATGACCTTGACCCACTTTCAAGGTCACAGGGGTCAAATGTCTTAAAATCTTCAAACTACTACTTCTCAATAAACAAAAGACCCAGGGTACTGAAATTGGGCCTGTTGCATACTGGGATGAAGGGCTACCAAATTTGTTCAAATGAATGACCTTGACCCACTTTCAAGGTCACAGGGGTCAAACATGTTAAAATCTTCAAAAGACTTCTCAATGACCTAAACGCCCAGGGTACTGATATTGGGCCTGTAGCATGCAGGAATAAAGGACTACCAAGTTTGTCCAAATGAAAAAACCTTTTAACAACTTCTTCTGAATAGAATAACCAAGAGGTATAAGGTGATGATATTTTGGCAGTAACATGCTCGGATGAAGGGCTACTGAGTTTGTTCAAATGAATCACCTTGACTGATATTCAAGGTCACAAGGGTTATAAACCTTTAAAAGAACTTCTTTTGAATAACCAAGAGGCCTAGGGTGATGATATTTGGCTAGTAGTAGCATGCTAGGATGAAATGCTACAAAGTTTGTTCAAATGAATGACCTTGACATATATTCAAGGTCACAGGGGTCAAATATGTTAAAAACCTTTAGACGAATTTTTCTTAATAATCAAAAGGCCAAGGGTGATGATATTTGGCCATTAACATGCTGGGATGAAGGATTACTAAGTGAATGACCTTCGCCCATTAGCAAGATCACAGTGGTCAATATATGTTTAAATCTTTAAATGATTTGTTCTGTATAACCTAAAGGTCCAGGATAATGATATTTTGCCAGAATCATGCTGGGTTGGAAGACTATCTCTGTTCAACCTAATATCCTTTTTCGACATTCAAGGTCACAGGCATCATATGTTTAAATCTTTTAACAGTTTCTTATGAATCAAACACTAATATTCTGCCTGTAGCTGTATTTTAGTCCACTTTTAAGATTACAAGTGTGAGATTAATACCAGGTGAGTGATGCAGGTTCATTGGGCCTCTTGTTCAGTTTCTCAGTTCCATAGCATAAATTCTAAATAGCACGGTATTGGTTAAATTTCTAGGTGAGCGATACAGGCTTTCTGTGCATCTTGTTTGTAGAGATATTATACTATGCTAGGAATACAAATTTGACCATGGACATCTTTAAAGGTTAAAAATTAGGAATAAATTATATGAGTGATTCTTGTTAATAAAGTATCATAAGTGTTGTAACCTCTATTATTTATGGAGTTATGCCCGTTGTTTAAAAAGATCACTGACTACTTACTGTATACTGAATTGATTTGAATGATACTTAGTACACAACACTCACATCAAGAAGATGTTATTTAAGTATATAAATTTGAGTTACCTTCCCTATTTATGGAGTAATACAGATGTCTCAATTATTTATACAGTTCTGTGGGAGTGTGGGTATTAAGTCTGCTAGTCTGGTGACAGTTCTAGTTTTGGGTTTGGTTTGTCAAAGGTTAATGTCAATGTGACTTAAATAGACTCAAACTTAAGATTGAGGTAACAATTTCAAACTATAAATGCAATAGTAAACCATTTCTTAAACTTAACCCCTTCCTAATGTAATTCATTCATGTTTCAGCTTTAAATGTTGCTCAGGTATTTTGTTCAGGGGAAGGGAGTGGGTATGCTGCCATTGGTGGCTCTCTTGTTTTATTATGTGATTGAGATGTATTTCTCATCTTCTTTAGGTTGAAGTTCACATATACTGATGACAGTGGCCTGAAACTGACAATGATGTAAGTATTTCAATCACATAATATATTTGTTTCATGCCTTTACAGTCAACAGTTCAATCTATTTCTTCAAAGTGTTGGGACCAACTGGATAAAATGTTTCCCGTAGATCATTGAAAGCAAATGCCATCTTAATACATTGTCTGCATCATAAGTTTCTTCTGAATCTGGCTATTGAACATTGCTGCCATCGAATCAGAGCTTGCCAAAAATCTGATTGATCATTGCCTATCAGTTTTGGAGTGAATAGTCAAAACTATTGACCCGGCAATATTTCAAATTTTAACTGTTGACTGTCATGCTATGTTTTCCTTGTAAACTATTTCAGAAGATAGTCAAAATTGTTTGCCTCAGCATATTAAGTTAATATTTACACCATAGTATGGTAACATCAAGTTCTACACCTGATTAGATTTGATGGCCATCAATCAAGGTTAATCTCAGTCCTACCATAGCAGTAATGAGCAGCTACCCACTTCTATGCCCTGTTTCTGATAATGGGATGTTAGGCTTTTCTAATTGCTCTTCATATGTGGTCTGTCTAACAATTCTTTTAATCACTATTTTTCAAGAAATACTTTACATATTTCTTTAAAATTTGATATTTAAGTTTCTCTTGGTCTGCAGATATGAATGTGACACTTTAAAACTTATCAAAGAACAAGAAGTCCTCAAGACAGCTATCTTGATTTTTGACATTAAAAGTTGGTTATCACTATTTCTCAAGAAGCATTGGCTGGATCTATCAAATTTCATATGAAGATTTTCTTAGATCCTAACTTCTGCATGTTTCATTTTAAGGCTGATCAGAATAATAAACTGGCCAACAGGTCTGCCATCTTGGATTTCAACAGTTCCAGTATGTTATCACTCATTCTCACATTTCATCTGTTGATATTTAGCTCACCTGCCCTTCAGGCCTAGAGTCATGATATTTGGCTGAAAGCTCGGTCGGTAGGAGCTCGCCAAAGTTTGAGAACGAAAATGACCTTTGACCTTTACTTTTAAAAATGTTTGTCCAGGGCATACCTTCTATACTATTTCACCTGGAGTAACAAAATTTGTATACTATTTCACCTGGAGTAACAAAATTTGGTTTACAAAAACACCTTCGGATGGTGAGTGCAAGAATTAGGTCACTATGACCTCACTGTGACCTATTCTTTGAATAGAAGGTACATCCTGACATAAGTGTACTGTTTGCAGGGCACAAATATGTTGTGGCCCCTCTGGGGATCGAGGGGCAGGGCCCTACTATACAAGTGAAGGGATTTTAACCAAATGCAGTCTGAAGCATGCTTAGAGACAAAAGAATCTATTTTGTATAAACTGAGGTGTGTGGACACCATAGTATGGTAACATCAAGTTCTACACCCCCCGGGGAAACCAATTGTGGTCATAACATGGAAACTCATTTTCTTGGTGTCTTTCCCACCAAAACAGATTTATATGTAGTTCTTCTTGCAACTTCTTGTACTCCTTTGATAAACATGTATGATACTCAGCATGTTTTAAAATAAAATACCAGGTGAGCTATCAAGGCCCCTGGGCCTCTTGTTTTATCATGTCAGCTAACCACTCTTTGAATGATGCAGATCTTATTTCAATGTAAGAAAGTATATAACACTATATGGCATTCAACGGGCGTATATTGTTCTGCCCCGCGGTAAACATGTTTTACCTGCCTGCATGTCCTGTAGTAATTTTTGGCACACACTGCTTGATGGATTAAGTATTTATTTAATATATAGTAATTCTTTTACTGATTTTTTTTTTTTAAATCTTGGACCAGTAAGTTTTTCTTTGGGCAGGTGCATTTTAAGATCCACTGGCCCAATGGATTTAAAAAAAAGGTTCTTGCCCTGGTTTGTTAGCTCACCTGCCCGGGGCAAGTTAGCTTATGTCATGGTGTGGCGTCTGTCGTCCGCCTGTCTTCGTCCGTCAACTTTTTCTTTAAACTACTTTTTCTGAAGAACGGACAGTCCTAGATTCATGATATTTAGATATAAGCTTCGTTGGTAAAAACCCAACAAAGTTTGAGAACGAAAATTACCTTGACTTACTTTCAAGGTCACAGTGATCATATTTGTCAAACACTTCAAATGACATCTTCTGAAAAATTGAAAGGTAAAAATAACTGAGGGGTATAAGGGGACTGCAAATTCAACCTTATAGGTTTCGTTGCCATAGCAACCACATGGAGGCTTCTGATTGGTCGAAATTTAGATATTGTTTGATTTCAATGAAAATTGGAATATAGGGGTATTAGGGGATTGCAAATTCAATAACATACATTTCGTTGCCATACCAATACACAGAGGCTTCTGATTGGTCGCAATTTAGAAATTGCTCAATTTCATTCAAATTTAGTATGTACATTGTAGGTGAAGTACTATGGCAATGCGATCCTTTTCTGATGCATATTTGCGACTATGGGGGCAGTTTGGGGACATCTGTAATGGTCTCCCATTACAATCAGTACTTGTTCATTTTGAAGCTAAGCAGATAAACAAAATAGCAGCTAGGCGCCCATCTTGGATTCCCCCAGTTTAAGTTTGTTATTACTTTTCCCCCAAGAATTTCTTAACAGATATTTTTAGGTCACCTGTTAGTGAGCCAAAACCTCAATTGACCTATTGTTATCACCTTTTGTCCATCATCTGTAAATTTTTCACAATTTTGACTTCTCCTGAAGAACTGGTGAATGGATTTTTTTTTAAACTGTCAGAATTATCCTTGATGGAAGAGGGTATCAAACACGTTTGGGTATATTATTCAAACTTGGTGGGAATAATTGTTATCAGATGGCAATTAAAGAGTATGAGATAATAATATCACTCCATAGTTTTCAAGCGTTCACTACACTTTTATTTTATTGAACCAAAACAATGTATTGGTATTTTAACAGGTTTGACATATCAGACAAGAACACTTCTGAGTGGAAGGTAGAATCACTCAAAGTGAAAGTGGATGGAACTGTGAACAATGTGGACTATTCAGGTGAAGCAAACATGAACACAAATAAGATGAATGTGTGGGCTCCAAAAGATTTCTCCTACCACTGTTCCCATCTACCTGTCATCAATGCTACCGCAGACAACACTACCACAGTCAACATCAGCCTCATCTTTGATGGCCTCCAGGTACAGATCCAATCTTGTATAACCTGAAATATTTGTCAATATTATGTCTCCCCATCAAATGAATGGAAACATCTATTGTTAGCTCACCTGGCCCGAAGGTACTGATATTGTGCCTGTAACATTCTGGGATAAAGGACTGCCAAGTTTGTTCAAATGAATGACCTTGACCCACTATCAAGGTCACAGGGGTCAAATATGTAAAAATCCTCAAACGACTTCTCAAAAACCAAAAGGCCCAGGGTACTGATATTGGGCCTGTAGCATGCTGGGATGAAGGGCTAACAAGTTTGTTCAAATGAATGACCTTAACCCAATTAAAAGGTTGCACAGGTCAAATGTCGTAAAATCTTCAAACAACTTCTTCTCAATAACAAAAGGCCAAGGGTACTGAAATTGGGCCCGTAGCATGCTGGGATGAAGGGCTACCAAGTTTGTTCAAATGAATGACTTTGACTAACTTTCAACCTAGTGTCCTTGTTCGACATTCGAGGTCACAAGCGTCATTTGTTTAAATCTTTTAATAGGTTCTTATTAATCAAACACTGATATTCTGCCTGTAGCTGTTATTTAGTCCACTATTAAGATTACAAGTGTGAGATTAATACCAGGCGAGGGATGCAGGCCCATTGGGCCTCTTGTTACATTTTCAACTTCTCCAGAACCAGTTGATGGAATTTTTTCAAACTTGGTCAGAATCATCCTTGGTAGATGAGGCTACAAAATTGTAAAATTGGGATTCCTACCCCAACCCCTGGGGCCAGGGTGGGGCCCCAAAGGGAAAATTAACCAATATTTCAAAAATCTTCTTCTCCAGACTCCGAGGTACTACAGTCATTTTCTCAGCATGGATGGAAAGATCATCAGGGGCTCTATGTAAATTGTAAATATCAGGACCCCCGAGCTATCCGTTCTCCCTTGGGGAGGGGGTAAATTGACTATAGTTTATATAGGGAAACAACACTTTTGGGTATATCTTGACAATTTTCTATAGGAAATTATTCTTACTTGGTCAGAATCATCTTTGGTGGATGAGGGTATTACATTGTAAAATTGGAATTCTTGCCCCATCCCCAGGGGCTATGGCGGGGCCCCAAAGGGAACATTTACCAATATATTAAAATTCTTATCTTTTGATGACATGACAAGTATTGTATTTCACTTAGTTTACATGCTGATTTCACCATCACATCTAAACAATTAAAAAAAAGCTACCAGTACCTATGATATAAGGCCGCTAAGGCCCTTGGGCCTCTTGTTTTGTATAACCAAAAGGTCGAGGGTGATGATATTTGGCCAGAAGGATGTTGGCATGAATGACTACGAAGTTAGTTCAAATGAATAACCTTTGCCCATAATCAAGGTCACAGGGGTCAAATATGTTGAAATCTTTAAACGACTTCTTCTGAATAACTAAAGCATACAGGGTGATTGCTTGTTAATGTGAATGACCTTGACATACTTTCATGGTCACATCTGATCCATATTGCTTCAATCTTTAAAAGTCATCTTCTTAATAAACAAAAGGTATAAGGTGATGATATTTGGCAAGTTGCATTCTGGGAGGAAGGGCTATGAAGTTTGTTCAACTAAATGTCTGTGTTTTGTCTTTCAAGGTCACAGGGGTCAAATGTGTTTTAATCGTTTACCAGGTTCTTCTGAAATTACTTGAAGTCAAGAAACTGATATTTTGGAAGTCAAGACACTGATATTTTGCCTGTAGCTTCACTTTTAAGGTTACAATTGTAAGATAAATACCAGGTGAGCAATGCAGGCCAATTGGGGCTCTTGTATCCTAATTTAGTCTTATTAAGTCGGAGGAGGGCGGAGGGGACTGATTTTGTATAAACGGTTGGTTTGGCCCCCCTTGGGGCAAAGGGATGGGCCAATTCGGGGGAAATAGAGGTAATACCTTTAAAATCCTTTTCCTAACTAAAGGATTAAGGGATTTTATCCTCATTTGATCTGGAGCATCCTTTGGCCAAGGGATTTTCATTTTTAGCTCACATGGTCCAAAGGACTATAGTGAGTCATCTTTTCCTTTCTCCTCCTAAATGCAAAGAGGATTTCAACCAAATTTGAACTGAAGCATCAGTAGGGACGGGCAATCATAACTTAAATAAATGAGGTTGGTTCGACCCCCTGAGGCCAGGGGGGCAGGGCTCCGAAAGGGAACTTAGCTAATTTTGCTTTAAAAGGTATCTCCTCCTTAACGCCAGAGAGGATTTCAACCAAATTTAGTCTGAAGCATCAGTAGGAAAGGACAATAGTTTTTTCAAATAAATGAGGTTCATTCAAACCCTGAGGCCAGGGGGGCAGGGCCCTGAAGTGGAACTTTGCTAAATTTGCTTTAAAACGCATCTCCTAAACGCCAGAGATGATTTCAACCAAATTCAGTCGGAAGTATCAGAGGGCAATCATTTCTTAAATAAATGAGGTTGGTTCAACCCCTGAGCCCAAGGGGCCCGGCGGGGTACTGAAGGGGAACTTAGTTAAATTGGCTTTAAAACGCATCTCCTGGTAAACGTCAAGAGAGGATTTCAACCAAATTTAGTCTGAAGCATCAGTAACGGAGTGCAATCATTTCTTAAATAAATGAGGTTGGTTTGACACTTGAGGCTAGGGGGGGCGGACCCTTGAACGGAAACTTAGCTAAATTTGCTTTAAAACGCATCTTCTCCTCAACCCCAGAGACGATTTTACCAAATTTGCTCTGAAACTTCATTAGGGGAGGGCAATCATTTCCTAAATAAATAAGGCTGGTATGACCTGGGCTAGGAAGGCGGGGCCCCAAAGAGATTTTTTTTTTCTGAAGCATCAGTAGGGAAGGGCAATCATTTCTTAAATAAATGAGGTTGGTTCAACCCCTGAGCCTAGGGGGGCGGGGCCCTGAAGGGGAAGTTGCTAAAATTTTGCTTTAAAACTCATCTCCTCCTAAAAACCAGTGACGATTTTAACCAAATTTGCTTCAGTTGTAATGACTTATATATAAAACCAGGTAAGCGATACAGGTCCAATTGATCACTTGTTTATAAACGGTAGGTGTGGCCCCCTTGCGGGCAGAGGGGCATGACCCAATAGGGGAAATAGAGGTAACACCTCTTCTACTACCGTAGGGATCAAGGGATTTTATCCTAATTTTGTCTGGAGCATCCTTGGATCAAGGGGACTCAATTTTGTATAAACAGTGAGTGTGGCCCCCCATTTGGGCTGAGGGGCGGGCCAAATAGGGAAAATAAAGGTAAAACCTTTAAAATTCTTATTCTTCCGTAGGGATTAAGGGACTTTATCCTAATTTTGTTTGGAGCATTCTTGAGCCAAGGGGACTCAATTTTGCTAACATTTCCAGGTGAGCGATACATGCCCTCTGGGTCTCTTGTTTGTAACTCAGGTTGTAAGGCAGGTTTCATTTTTAGGTCACCTGAGACAAAGTCTCAAGTGACCTATTGCTATCGCCTTTTGTCCGTCGTCGTCCGTCGTCCGTCGTGCGTCCGTAAACAATTTACATTTTCGACTTCTTCTCCAAAACCCCTGCACCAATTTCAATGAAATTTTGCAGGGACCTTCCATGGACAAAGGTCAACAAAAGTAGTTGCCGGTTTAGTCCTAAGCCCCCAGGGGCCTGAGGGGCGGGGCCAAAAAGGGTCAAATTGACTAAAATTTCAAAAATCTTCTTCTCCAAAACCTCTGAACCAATTTCAATAAAATTTTGCAGGGACCTTCCATGGACAAAGGTCAACAAAAATAGTTGCCGGTTTAGTCCTAAGCCCCCAGGGGCCTGAGGGGCGGGGCCAAAAAGGGTCAAATTGACTAAAATTTCAAAAATCTTCTTCTC